GCCACCGTTCCAATACAGATTAATTCCTTAAGTTAAGGGTCCACTGTATTCCGACTGGCCTTCTGGAATTGCAGAAATCCTTGTCACAAGAACCTGCGAAAGAGACACATTATAGAAACAATTGGCCCTTTCTAAGAGTAGAGAACAAGAAAGGGCCAACCATAGAAGACATCGGTGGGGACACACTAGGTTGAGCCATGTTTCAACTAAAGGAGCAGAGTCCTAAGCCAGCATTTAAGGAGTCTGTAATGTTCTGTTTGGTCCCCACTAATTACTGAGTTAGAACTGCAACCTGCTCTTGTCATGTTCAAGTGCAGAATTAAAAGTTGGGCATTTCAAGGAAGACTTTTAAAAACTCCTTTTTTCGCTAGTTCTGAACAAAACTTTAATAGATGTTTGGGTTCCCTGTACTCACCCTTTCCCCTCCTAGGGCTTGCTTGAGCCAGAAGTGCCAATAATGATGAATTGCTTTTAAAAAACTCTTTAGCAGAAACTGAAAGTTAATCATAACTCATATCCTAATGTGTCTGCTTTTTTTGTTTGTTTGTTCTGAAAACATATAGAGCCAAGTCATGTTTTACAACTAATACACTAAAAATAACACATACCACATCTCAGGGAAAAGTGTATTCATTCCTTCCCAGCTGTAGACATTCAAGACAGCCAACCAAAATTTACCCCAGGAAGCTATTCCTACAGCACCACCTAAAAAGCATAAGAAGGCATGCAAATTATTCTTCTTTACAACGAAGATATCTTATTCCCTTTTTGTCACAGAACCTGATCTACACAAGTGGTAGATGGGGGGGCTGGGCTGGGAAGAATGAAATGGCAGAATGGGCACTACCACTTCATGAGGGATTATTATTATTTTTTTAAAAAGTACTCGGCTATTGAAAATAACATTCTACAGTAGAAAATCATTAGCTGACAGAGTGAGAACAAAAATGCAATAATGTATTATCGAAGACTAGAGCACAGTTCTGACTCCTGTCCTCTGAAGATGCCAGCCACAGAGACCGGCCAAATGTTAGGAAGAACAACCTTCAGAACACGGCCAAAGAGCCCGAAAAACCTACAACAACCAAACATGCAGCGACATTTAAAAATGGCCATCTCCCATTGCTACATGTCTTCCTCAAAATTTAAAACTGAGCAAGTTAGAGAGATATATGTCAGAATTTTCCACTTATGTAGAGGTTGGTTATATTTGCAAGTGAAGTAGTATAAGCAAGCCACATTCCTACTAAGATGTTTTTAAGTGGTGGCACCTTCAATAATACTTAAAAGGGCCTTTAATATTACTTGAAAATTCAAGTCAAAAGGAATCAGAATTATAGTCTCCCCAAAACACACAGTTCATGAGTATTGCAGAATTTTAGAGGAGCCAGAAGCTCACTGCACATCTCTCTCAGCCCTACCCCCCCCAACCAAATGTTCTCTTTCCCTCAACTCTGAGTATTGCAGAATTTTAGAGGAGCCAGAAGCTCACTGCACACCTCTCTCAGCCCTCCCCCCAACCAAACGTTCTCTTTCCCTCAACTCTGATTCTCCCTCCACAACAAAGTTCTGAGCAGCGCAGCACATTCTTTAGCCAGCTGGTTCACAAAAAGACACAACAGCTGAAATCCTGTTCATGTAAAGTTCCATTGAATAAGACTAAGGATTTCATTGGTGGGGCTATTTTAAGAAATTAAATATTTCCCCCTCCTATCCTGAGGTCCCAAGGAATTTCTTTCACTGTTTGGAACCCATGAGGTCCATGGAATTGGGACGGGGAGACTTTATGAATTGCCTTCCCCGCAAGTGCCCCAGGCGATGACATCATCCGCATTATATTGCAGAACTTAAAACAGGATTTCAGTCCATGTCCCTGTTACTTGTCAGTTAGCCTTTACTGTAACAGTGACTTCCTTGCTGATCATGCTGGGTGAGGGAGTCAGAGGGTCTCAGCCTCAATAGCTAAAGGAATGGGAAGGCTCTAGTGCTCTCTGCCTGCCCCCCCCCTCCAGAAAACTGAAAGCACCCACAGGAGTTTGATGGCAGAACTCTTGTGAACAGGCAATTGGCACAAACAAACAAAAGCCAGAGTTAATGCATGACATTTTGTCTCAGAACCATTATGTATACCCAGTCTCAGAACTCCAGAGATAAACATCAACAAGGAACCTTCACTCTTGCAACTGCAAGGACAATCCTAGGAGAAGCAAGAGTGTGAGCCTACACAAAAATGAGAAAACAAAGCCTCAAATCATGATTCCTGCACCTCCTCCATAAGCCCATTTTATGGAAAAGATGGATATGAAAAACACTCATACACTGGTGGCCACACACGCCACAGGTCCTTCTCCCAGCAAATATAGGAAAACTGTTCCATCTACAGGGAGTGCCAATATTATGAACACAGTTAATGCTAATTTCAAACACAAATAGAATTCCTGCATGCACAGGTTAATTACCAAATCTGTTCAGTTGACTTTGGCAAGTAACAACTGCAAAACTGGACATGAAACATACAAAGGCTGGTTCAATTAAGAGTTCACCAGTCAGAAGAAGGAACAAACTGGATTATACAAAGAGTTGTCATGGTCATAATTCAGTGTCACTGCACTCACCACATCATTGTATGCCACATCATTCCCACCACTCAGGTCTGCTGTGGATGATCAGACAGGGCCCCTCTCCGCTGGATACCAATGCTTGGCAGAAAAACATAGCTACCTTTGCTTCCAACTGATTAGTCACCTTTTTCATGGAGGTTGTTTCGAGCTCGCAACAGGTCTGGATCATCAGGACTAACCCCAAGGATGCGCATGGCTGTGTAGTTGAGAGCAGTAGAAAATACCTTGGAGATGTCCTCCACATGCCTGTTGAATAAACAGATCAGTGTTCGGAATGTGCCCAATACATATAAATTCAATTTGTTTTTACTGGCCTGAGGCTGATCAGGACTGTATAAACCAGTTCTCTACCTATAAAAAGTCTGAGGTAAAATGGACATAATTCTGAGGTAAAATGGACCCACAGAACCCATTCTGACTCCAGTGGATTGGAAGTACCAGCTGCCAATGCATTCTTGTAATTCCCCAGCTCAAGTCTTAAAGTCTCCTGTTCATACCCCAAATGCCCTAACGCATCCTCAATAGTCAATTTATTATTTTATGTTACTATTTGCTAATTTTATATATACTACAGATCTCCAGAAAGATTTGTAAATGAGTTCTAGGTTAAAAGCAAGTTCAAAGTCTCTCTGGAAGCACAAATGACTAAGGTTATTGTACTTTGGACTCAGCATGAGAAAACCTGACTCCTGGAAAAGACAATAGGCAGGAGGCAAAGAAGATGATGTAACATGAGATTAATTGATTCAGTAAGGGAAGCCATGGCCTTGATGTTGCAAGAATCACACAAGGCTGTTGACAATCAGATCTTTTTGAGCTCACTAATTTATGGAGCT